CATCTTCAAAAATGAAGGCAGGAAGTTTTGGAAGTTTTAAAACCTTTTGTGTGTGTGTGTGAGAGAGAGAAAGACAAAGATAATTCATAGGAGTGGGACAGACAGACAAACAGAACAGAAGGACATAGAGACAGAAACAAAGACTATACATGACACTGAGTCTCATTTGTATATCATTTCCAAATAGTCATTGTAGCAGGTCAAAGGACACATTCATTTCTTATTGTCCTTATCTCATTCAGCAGTTACTTATTTGAAGTTACACATGTGCTGACAGGGATAAGGATTACGACCTAATTAAAAAAACAAAACAAAACAGGGAGTGCTGCAGTCTCCCATCCTCTTCAAAATGATGACAGCTAGCAAGAAATGTAGCTTGAGCACAATGCTCTGAACACACCCAGCTGTCCAAAAGTATATTGTTATTGTTTAAATTGGACAGTCACAGGCCCGTGGCCTGTGCTACAGGACATTTTTGTCCTTATGCAGACAGAATCAGACTCTGAAGAAGAAATGGGACTTTACTGCCTGGTCCTTTATCATCCTGATAAGAAGCTGCTGTTCAATAAATACTATGTACTTGATAAATACTACCTGCTCTAACTAGAACTGGTTTGTTTCTTATCTGAACAAAATGATAAAGGGACGATTAAGTGTCCGTTGGCACTTCTACAACATCATTGCCAGGTGATGCATTAATAAAGTGTGGGGAAATGTGTAGTTGGAAAAAGTAATGTGAAAATATTAAATGTTTTAAGTCAGGTCTCCCAGTCAGCATTGTTTTGATTATCAGGTCTATCTGAACATAGGTTGTGAGCAGGAATCTTGTGGATTTTGTGTAAAATGGAAAAGTTATCCATTATAAACCATAATTTAGGAAAAGCTTTGTCCCATTTCTAAAAAAAAATAACCTCTCCTTTCTCCTCCATTTTCCCCCTTCCATGTGGAAAACTACTTAATACAAATTATTAAAACCTTTAGCTTACAGGGACCATTTGTACATTTATTTCAATGTAATTAAGATAATGAATGTGTACAGTTTAAGAAACCGTCATGTGATCCTACACTCGTTAATGGGGTGTATTCCAAAGTAAATTTGAATAGGGTTCAACAAAAAAGAAAAAAGTTGTGGAGTCCTCGTATGCAATCTAAAGACAAGGATAGGGGATACTTTCATTAGATCACTGAAGAGAAATTAGCTCATTGTGTAGGGAAATTAAATCTAAACTATACTGCCAGAGGTGAAATCTGAAAGCTGTCACTTTTGAGCTGACTCTGCAGCCCCCATTTTTAAATTTGCTTTAAGCAAAAAAGTAAATCTAGCACCTATATGTGAGAATTCAGTGTTGTTATTGTTTCAGCTTATATACCAGGGATAATTTTATTCCTTTTGCTGTAACTGTAACTTTTTAGAGGGGGTGTTGCAGCTTATGGTCTAACGAAATAGTGGAAATGGATGAAATCTGCATAGCTTGTGTGGTACGTCTGGTTTGTGTTGTGTTGCCTGGTGCTGCCACGTAATCCTTGTGCATTTTGAGATGATGGTAGGGTAGACAGGAAACAGAGACTGTTCTGTAGGCCAGTAGCTTTCAGGAATCAGATTTTTAAAAAACTAAACAGAAGTAACTAATAACTTTTGGGAGACAGACTGAAGAGTTACTTTTAAAAATAAGCACAAAAGTAACAACTTTGGGACACTGGAATGGAACTGGAGCTAATTATTTTTTTATAATTAGCTTTCTGAACTGTGTCCAGAGATCCCTCAACCGTGGGCTTGATAGAACTGGTCACTGGGCTTTTAGGTTTATGGAATTCCTGACTATGATTATTGCACTCTTTCACTCAAATAATGGTTGAAAATTCACTTAAGTCAACTGAAGCAGAACATAGTCTTCAAACAACCATTTTAGTTTGAAATACGATGGCACAGAAGGACAGTGAAAAATTGCAACACCTTCTTCCTTATAAGTTAATTTTTTAAAAAAAGTTGCCCACCCAGGATTATTTAAAACATACATATAAAATCTCCCTGCAGTCCTACTTGCTTAAACCCATATCTATCATCTTTTCATTACAACACAATATAGAAGACTCGCATTTAACTTCCCAAATGCATTAGACGGAAGTAGTGCCATTTCTCTAACTGCTGGATTAAGAAGGAAAAATCACCTCTGGGTGAAAAAAACAACGGTGAACAGAGAATTTTCATCCTATTATCAGCTACAATGATTTTCTCCCATCAAAACTCCATCTCTAGCAACACCTCCATAAACACCCTTCATGAGTCAAATCCAGACTTACAAAGTTATAAATCTTTTGAATCGGACATAGAAAACAATTATGAGGGTGAACAAGTTGAACAAAACCTTTCACACTCTGTTATAGCTGGGGCGTTATGATAAGATTTACAAAGAACAGTACTGTTTACTGGCGTTAGTGCAGATTAGTGACATCCTGAACTAGAGGATAAAAATTTCCTCAAAAGAGAAACCTGTCGGATTTCTATAACCACATCTGAGGGCAGATACATGTTTTAATTTTAGAAATGATTTGGAAAATTAAATAAACAACTTCAGAAGAGGAGGGGAGTGATTAGAAGCTAGAAAATCATTGCCACCCATCCCAAAATCTGCCCCAGGGTGAAGGGGATCCTTAGGGAACCCTGAAATCTGGTGGTACTCTACAGAGGCTTTAATAGCAGCGCTTTGCAACCTTAGGTCCCCAGATGTTCTTAGACTACAACTCCCAGAAATCCTGGCCAGCACAGATAGTGGTGAAAGCTGCTGGGAATCATAGTTCAAGAACGTTCGGGGATCCAAGGTTGGGAACCATAGTTTTGTTCTCTCAAATTAGCCACAGCAGTTGTGGCTGATTACATTATTCTTTTCGGAAGAAGCACCTCCACCAACAGGACTGCAGCCGGTATAAGAGAAGTTACCTAAGGATGTATCTGTATATGTGTACAGTATATGTATGTATGTAGCACTTTCCACGAATGTAGCCCTATTTATCTCTATGCTAGTATCTGAGTATATATTGCAAGGCTTTTTTGAAATATAAAAAAGAAGGTGGATGTAAGCATTAGGCCTACCATTTCAACATAACACAGCAGAATGATTTGCATCTAGATCCAGTCTCTTCATTAACCAGAAAAACATGCCAAACAAGACACACAGAGAGAAATGTGCACTGACACTTCAGTGAGTGATAAAGAAGCAGAATGTCCATCATATTTTGCCACCTCGTATAGATTAATGATGATGGAGAGAAAATGCATGCAAGGATATGTAAATCATGTACAAAAGGGGCAATCTTGCCCTGTCACTGCAGGAGATAACGTGTGTTTACCACTTAATGGCTATTGCAGAAACACAGGTAACGTACTTTCAGGTCTTCATATTTTATTTGCATATTTTAACTCTTATCTGGAAGACTTAAATTATATTTTGAAATCATGGCAATTTCCCCCAGAGCCTGAAAAGCTCCTTTCCTCCCCACATCAATTTAAATAATGCTACACAGTGGGCTAACGCAACAGGGCTCCTGAATGAACTGAACCATTACTTTAGCAAGGGATACATGAAACCACGCCTCTCTAACTTAAGCTTGGTGTGTGGATCAAATGTATTCTCAAGCACACACGAGTAAAACATGCACTTTTAATAGTTGGGCCTTTGTTGTTAGCCAGGGCCTGCAAAAGTTACTTTTGGATTACAAACCCCAGAATCCCCTAGCCAGCCTAGATCCTGGCCACGCCGACTGAGGCATTCTGGACATGGTGCCATCCAAAAAACAACCTTTCTAAGTTGTGTTAGGAAAGAGTGAAGCGCTGTACAGAACCGGAAGCCCAAGGAGAGGATTTGATCAGCAGGAGTCGGGAGAAGGAGATCATGAGTAACTGTTCCACCTCAAGTATCACAACTAGAGATGAGGGTATTCGTATTCATATATGAATATCCCCCCCCCATAGGTGGAAATGATGAGGGTCCAGCCCCCTGGGACCAGACAATCCACTCCTGATTCCACTGCTGCCGCGAGCTCCATGAAGCCTTCCTATTACTTCGTTGCTCGCGATGGATTAGTCACTCTGCGACCTGGAAGAGAGGCTCATCATCCCGCTTTCTGCCAAGACTGGTTAATCGATCACGAGCAACAGAGCGATAGGAAGGCACCAGCACTGGCGGAATGGTGAGTGGTCGGTCTGGCCCCAAGGGGGCCGGATCCTTGTTATCTGCACCTGTGAGGGTGCACCTAATCACAACCATATAAATAACTTCTGCTTTCATAACAGAGCATAGATATGACCTTTTCCATATTCTACAAGGCTGTGGAGATAATTCCAAGCTCAAGGAGAAGTGGCTTTAAATAATGTTTTTCTCCATAACTGAATTATGGCAGAAAAGGTAGGAAATCCACCAGCCCACCTACTAGTTCTACTTAGATGCAGATTTTTGCTCTGTCTCATAACCTTCTGTAACAGTAACTGAGGGAGAATCCCCTTCTGACTCCCTCCCATGTAATTCAAACGCTGACTTCCCTCTCAAACTTCTTAAGCGTAAATGTTAATGTACACATTTCTAAAGCTGGAGTGAATATTTGGACAATTATTTTCCTTTCCCCCACCATCTGTACATTTTAGAGGCTGGGTGGCAAGGTAAACAGGCACTCCCAGTCCAAGGTATCATATTAATTCCATTTGGGAGTTTTTTTTAAAAATGACGAAAAGGTTGTAGTTATGAAACACCAGACTCAAGGCCAGGATTACACTATACCAACTGGATCCAGTTGTGTGTGTCTTGTGGTTGTATGAGTGCCTGAGAGAGGAGGAGGAGGAGGGAGGGAGAGGCACGGAGGAGGAGGAACAGCAGGCACCTAAGGATATCGCATGCATTCCTAAAAAACGAAGCAATATTTTTTCCCATGCTTCCTGCCAATATATAATTTTGCATATGAAACAAAAGCCTTCCAAGGCCTAAATTAAAAAAGCACAGCGCCGTTACCTCACTGCATCTCCTTATTCGCCTTGCCACAATGAGCTGAATCATCCCGCGTTTGTTTCCCTCTGTGGACATGGACCTACGCAGGGTTTCCATGGCATCTTGGTTCGTCTTGCCCAACAACGATTCCCCGTTTACCGCTATTAGTTGATCATTCACTCTGAGCCTTCCATCCTGGCAAGAGAAAATGGTAGCATTAACTAAGAAATAAAGAACTCTTTTTTTTTCCTGGCATCTTTGCTCTGAGAGGAAAATCTTAATCCTCAAGACTTTATGGCTAAATGAACACCACTATAATGGCTTTTGAACAAACCATGAGCAGAGACGTGTCTTTTCCAGTCATTTACATATTTGAACTTCACCTAATTATCATAATCTGTTTATGTAAACAGCCTTCTAAGTAAAATGTACAGCCACAGTTGATCCCTCCTTTCCATCCATCTTTCCAGTTCTTGCAAGTAATCCCCGAGTCTTGCCAGCTAAAGCCATTTTAATGCAGACTTGTTGGAAACCTTTATTATACCATGCATAATTCTTAACTTTCATGGGATGGATGGGAATGGAGCACCTGAATGATTGACTTTCGAATACCATATGGGTTAGCACTGCTCTCCATCCTGGAGGGCCAGTAAAGGCACAAAGGAAAAATCCCTTGATGCCCTCTTTTTCTTTCTTTCTTCTTTTTGAAGTTAAATATCCTATGTACATGGATTTCTTTTTGAAACTGAACATGTTACATGCAAGTCTGGCCCTACCATTAGATAAATGAAATAGCTGCCATGGGCAGAAAAATATGGTATCAGTTATTGATATAATTAATATTTTAGTTACTGTCGAGAGGTAGGAAAAATATGAGTATCTCTGCTTTAGGTGCCAAAATGACAATTGGCCTAGGATACCACACAATTTGATCTGGGTGGGGGGGTGAGGAGTAGGGAATCAACCATTTGCTATACAGTGGTGCCTCGCAAGATGATTGCCTTGCCGGACAAAAACCTCGCTATACGAATGGGTCCGGTGAGGTTTTTAGTGCCTCACAAGACGATTTTTCCTATGGCTGTTTTCTGCAAGACGAATGTTGTCGTCAGGGGCTAGCCAAGCACTATTTTTGAAGATCCCGCCCCTTTCCCCTGCCTTCAGCAAGCCTCAGAACGTAAAAAGAAAAGAAAAAAAGAAAGAAAGCCTTTTTACGTTCCGAGGCTTGCCGAAGGCAGGGGCAAAGGGTGGGAACTTCAAAAATGGCACTTGGCAAGCCTCTGCAAGCGCCCATCGCCACGTGGAGGGACCCCCCACAAGTCTTGAGATGGTGCTAGGGAAGCCCCATGTGACCCCCAAAGCCAGCGATCGCAGCAAAGGGACCCCCCTGCCAGCCCTCCGATGGTGCTTCCCCAACTCCCTACCTGGTAAGTGACTTTTTTTAAAAAAAATTCCCCATAGGAATGCATTAATTAAATTTCAATGCATTCCTATGGGAAACTGTGCCTCGCAAGATGAATTTTTCGCAAGACGGCATTGACCGCGGAACGAATTAAATTTGTCTTGTGAGGCACCACTGTACTATTGGGTGATATCTATTACTGAAACACTAAAATAAAATAGAAAAATTAAACAAACTGCAAGCTTTATTTGAGCAATCCCTCTTCATCAGCTGAGCACCATCCCTTCATGGACAGGGTAGAAAAAATTATAGACAGGAGTCCAAAAACTGATGGTTTGTCAGAAAGGGTCTCAGATGACTCAGGTTTCAAAAGTCCTCTTGAGGCTGTGGTCTTATTCGTTTGAAAAGAAACTCTCTCTCTCTCTCTCTCTCTCTCTCTCTCTCTCTCTCTCTCTCTCTCACACACACACACACACACACACACACACACACACACACACACCCCTCTTAACACCAAAAGGTTGTCAATTACTCTGTGGTTGCCCTTCACCACCATCTCAGGCAACAGGCAACAGTTTCATTGACCAGCCTTGATGCCATCATTTGGAGGTAAACACAACCTTGATGGGTACATGCAGTTTGCTCAGCTAACTTCTTTTTGTTCTTGGTCTCTCATACTGTGGAAAACAAGACTGGGCACTTGCTTTACTCCTACATCCCACTATTCCCTGTATTTTTGTTCTCACTTTTTTCGTAACTGTTAACCTGCCCAGTTTCATAACTAGTTGGCTCCTTTAGTCAGTGACCACTCTATGGTAAAGGTAGGTTATACAGTGGTGCCTCGCTTAACGATTGCTTTGTACAACGAAAAATTCACTTAACGATGGCTTTTTTGGAGCGATCTTGTGCTTCACTTAACGATTTTCCTTATGGGCGATTTTCGCTTAACGATTTCGAGACCATGCTTCGCATAACGATGACAGTTTTAGGTTCCCTTGTTTCACTTAACTTTTTTTACAGCCCTGTTTTTGCTATTTTTAAAATATTCTAAAATGTTTAAAATGCTTGGAATCGTTAGTGCACCTAATAAAACCTTCGTTAACTTAATTTGACTTTGTTCTGAGTCTTTTTGAATTTTTTGTGATTTTTTTCCCCCATTGAAATAGGCTTCAATGCATTTCAATGGGTTTCGCTTAACGTTTTTTCCTATGGGGATTTTCGCTTAAGGATGGCAATCCGTTCCAATTGGAACGGATTATCCGGTTTTCAATGCAACTCTATGGGAAATGGTGTTTCGCTTAACGATGTTTTCACATAGCGATTTTTTGGAACCAATTAAAATCGTTAAGCGAGACACCACTGTATTGCTGAATTTGCACAGTGAGTTGGACAACTTCCAAAAATACTAACCAAGAGATGTAAGGACTCCTCCTGCCAGGAATACCTGAGTCCTGACGATCTTGCTATGACATTTATTAAGTCAGCTGATTGCACAAATAACATGATAAAGCAAACTGATCACAACAGTGTAATTCTGCTGTCCCTTTAGGAAGTATCAAAATGGACTGGTTTAGCAATTCAGATGCAAAGTAAACATCATGTTATTTCATTTACTTACAAGACCTCTGTTAACTTAATGGTGATCCAGGCAGAAAAACAACAGATGATCCACAAAAAAAACATCAACAGCAACAACCTACAGTTTATAAGTGTAACAACGCAAATTGTCCAAAGGTAAAACTTGAAGAAAAGAAAAAAAAGGGAAAGATACAATACAAGAAATCAATAGGGAGGTGCCCAAACAAGACTCAGTTTTAGACTCGTCTTTCCAATATAAACGGCCCTCCCACTTGCCTTCGAAGCTGCTCCGCCATTAATTATGGACTTCACAAAGATGCCGAGGTCTGCGTGGTTCTCTTTTGATCGGTTGCCCTTCACACTAACACCAAGTCCGGCTGATCCAGAATCATTAAGAGGAACTTCAAAAGTGAGGAATTCCCTGGTGCCATCAGGTGTAAGGACAAGATCTTCTTCTGCTACTTTCTATGAGGGAGAGATTAACAATGGCAACATTTAAAAGAATTTCTTCTTTGCCATTATCTTTTAATTATAACCACCAACTATATATGTTTAAAATGTGTATATATATATATGAAATTTTGTGGAGAAATCTTTGATAGGAGTGCATCTGGCACTATTTCAATAAATTGCTAAAACCAGATGTGACCTCTGTGTATGTACATGTTCAAAGAAGAGAGAGCATATATTACGTACTTAGAGTGTGTGACAATTAATACAAACAGCAATCAGTCCCTTTCCAAACAGGAAATAATTACTGAAATCATTAAAACCAATGCATTTTCTGTCGTAAGTTCATCTGCCTTTTCAAATAATGGCATCTGAATATTTACGCATTCTGAGCTGTAAAAAAGAGCAGGTAACCAACTGGTTGGATATCAGTTAGTCATTTCCCTCATTTTTCTTTTACAGTTGGTTTTATTAATAACGTTCAAAGAAACAACACGTAAAACATTTTCAGATGAGTTCAGGTAAAAACAAACCATTTCGCTATTCGATGCCAAAAAAGTCATATGGGATGCAGCTGTAAGTGCCATTCTTTTTTCATCCGCTTTTCAGACCTCTTTTCATACCTTCATCCTTGTCCCTTTTTCTACATTGCCTAGACTTGTGCGGAAATCAAGCTTGTGCAGCATATTTCGGTTCCCCACCCCCTCTACAATCCACCAATCCAGAACTGTTTGCAAAAAGCTGGCTGGAGTGAAGCCAAAAACAACATGGCGACTCAGGCAATAGGAGTCATTGCCTCGTATCACATATGCCGGAATGCTTTGTATCCAGATCTTTATTTAATTGGCACCATGGTCTCCGAATATGACCCTCACATGTTGTGGCACTTCCAACTCACAGAAGACCCAGCCATCATGAGTAGTGATCAGGCATTTTTAGAGTTTTAGTCCACTAACATCTGTGGACACAAGGTTGGGAAATACTCTAGTAGGTCCCATTCTACCACGTGGGGGGGGGGGCGCAACCTTGTTAAACTTCCACAGTACCCACCATACTCAAGAGGGCTTTCCTTGTCAACACAAACTGCTTCAGAAGAGAGCCTTGACGGATAAACTCCCCTCATCTAAATGCAGAACTGGATCAGCATTAAGTAATATAGTTGGAACCAGAAAAAGTCACATTTCCCCAGAGTTCTAATTTGGTTAATAATGATGGTTGATTCCAATTGCATTTTCTTAACATTCTATTGTTTCTCAAGGAAGTGTTTGATTCATAATGCAAGAGAACATTTTGGGCAGGGCAAATTATTATTCCACACTAAGAAAATCCCATATTCAGCAACATCACTTTTTATTTTTAAAAAGGGAGAAGGAAAAGACTTTCCAAGTATCACTTCTCAGTGAATCAAATGGAATGTTTGGTCTCCATGAAATGGATAGTGATGGCTATATTCTTATTTGATTTTGTTATTTTGGTGCAGTCTTGACCTACAAGAATTCATATTGAGGTTAATCTTTTGCCTGTTGTGTCTGGGTTCCAAAAATCACCAACTATGCACATATCTGCTGATCTGTGACACAATGTCCATGGCTCTCTCCCATGACTGCTTGTTAATTGACCCACTATTAAGCTAATCATCAATGTCTGCATAGTTTGCCTTTCTGCTTCCTTTACACAATTCCAACAAGCACATGTATAAATGCTTGCAAATGCAGCTAACGTACCATATAATAGGAGGTCAACACTGAGTTCTTTGCAATGTATGCTTCCCTATCTGCTTTTACTCTTTCCCTGTAAAACAGCAATGGTGGTCTAGCTATTGGTACTTCCTATACTTCGGGTTCCAGTCTACAGCTGAGGATTAATACATTCCATGCCTCTATATTTCAGTCTGTTTCACTAATGTAGGTATGAACACAGGAATTACTTTTTCGTGTGAAATACTGTACTGACTACATGGCTTTTATCCCGTGACCTCTTTTTTTTAATTTAACTTCAGTTAAGTCAAAAGAGGTCACTTCCTATCCACACCAAGGATTTGGCAAAATGCCATGCACACACACTTGTGAAGTAGTAGGAGTGATACTTCGACGTCTTCCTAAAAGCACTTTCTGAACATTTTGAGACAGGAATAGAAAAAGTTATTCTAAACCCAGAAGAGACTGGCTTTCTAAATAACAGGAGTGCAGCTTAGTTATGAAATGCCTTCACATACAATTTAAGAGAGATACTTCTACCTGCACCTTTTCCTACCTTATTATGCCCCTCAGAGAAAGTTAATTGCACAGTTGGAGGACAAAAGACTAAGCAGTGATCAATCAGGACTGCGAATCTGGTAAGTCCATCATATGAATGTTCTCCACTTTCCCTTTGCCAGCCTTAATACTAAGGCTGGCTATGGTTACCTTCAAAGCTAGGTTTCTAAGCCAGTTTCATGCATTGGTTAAAACCTAACCCTGCAATTGTTCCAACTTTAATATAGCATCATAGTTAACACTGGCATGGAAAGGAGAGAAGGAAAAGTATGAAAACCTACTTAGTTTTTATTCCATGGACAGACGGGGAATTAGTGGGCCTCTAGCAGTCAAAAGACGCCTGCTTCTTGGGAGGAAAGCGATGACAAACCTTGACAGCATCTTAAAAAGCAGAGACATCACCTTGCCAACAAAAGTCCGCATAGTCAAAGCTATGGTTTTCCCTGTAGTGATGTATGGAAGTGAGATCTGAACCATAAAGAAAGCTGACCACCAAAGAATTGATGGCTTTTGAAGTGAGGTGCTGGAGGAGGCTCTTGAGAGTCCCCTGGACTGCAAGGAGAACAAAGCTATCAATTCTAAAGGAAATCAAACCTGAGTGCTCACTGGAAGGACAGATCCTGAAGCTGAGGCTCCAATACTTTGGCCATCTCATGAGAAGAGAAGACTCCTTGGAAAAGACCTTGATGTTAGGAAAGTGTGAAGGCAAGAGGAGAAGGGGACGACAGAGGATGAGATGGTTGGACAGTGTCATCGAAGCAACCAACACGAATTTGACACAACTCCAGGAGGCAGTGGAAGACAGGAGGGCCTGGCGTGCCCTGGTCCATGGGGACACGACTAAACGACTAAATGATGAGCAGTTTTGGACATCCATCAGGTCATCTAGTACAGCCAATGACTATGGAATCTGAAGTCCAAACAAGTTTAAGGGCTAAAGATTCCCCACCCCTGGTTAAAACATTGAGGTAACTGAGGAACAATGCAAACAAGAATGCTATCCTGAAAAAAGTATACTTTAAAAACAACACCACACATAAACTATTAGTCCATGTTTTAAACTCATCCAATACTTTGCAGTGGCCCTCAACTCCCAGAAATCCTGACCAGCAGAGGTGGCAGTGAAGGCTTCTGGGAGTTGTAGTCCAAGAACATCTGGAGGCCCAAGGTTGGGGACCACTGCTTTACAGCATAAACATTTTTAAATAAGTGATGGTCAAAACCCTGTAATGAAGCTAAAGGTAAAAGTAAAAGTTCCCTTTGACATTTTTAGTCCAGTCGTGTCTGACTCTAGCCGTTTTTCAAGCCATAGAGCCAGCGCTTGTCCGAAGACAGTTTCTGTTGTCACGTGGCCAGCATGACTAGGGAGTGCCATTTTACCTTCCCACTGAGGTGGTACCTATTTATCTACTCGCATTTACATGCTTTTGAACTGCTAGGTTGGCAGGAGCTGGGACAAAGCAACGGGATCTCACTCCATCACATGGATTCAATCTTATGACTGCTGGTCTTCTGACCCTGCAGCACAGGCTTCTGCAGTTTAGCCCGCAGCACCACCACGTCCCTTATGCACCACCACGTCCCTTATGTAATGAAGCTACACCTGCATAAGTTGCACAAGCAGATGCGAAATTTGCACTAAAAGCACAAGTCATATCCAGCAAGCAGTTGCACAGGTGCACCTGTGCAACCAGTTGTGCTACCAGTTGTGCAATTAACATTGCAATTATGCAATCAGAGACTAAATGGGCATAACTCCCTGCGAAGTTCCACAAGTGTAACTTTGCACTGCACAAAGTGCAATAGGACGCCAGCCCATATTTTTTACTTTGAACATAAAACAATATAGAAAATGTGTGAAAGTAAAAGATCACATTGCATCTCTATCTGTGATGCCTGAATAATGTTACTGTGATGTTATTCTGAGGGCAGAGCTCAGTTGGAAACCACCACACTTCACAGGTACAAAGTTTCAAGTTCAGTCCTTCACAACTCTAGTTTCAAAAGAACCTAGTGAAGTGTGGCAGGAAAGTCTTCTCCTTTAGATCCTGGAGAACTCCTAAATGATCTAAATACTGTATATAGCAGTGGTCTGGACATAGTATTACTGGGACTCGCTATGAGACAGGTTCTTAAAGAACTGTAGAATACATATCAGATAGGTACAGTGTGCCAACGGCACCAGAGCTTTGAAATCTTTTTTTTTAGGGGGGTGGGGCTTTTCTGCTTCATCTTGATTTTGTTTCACTACAAAATCCAGGATTCTCTAGTGCAGGATGGCTATTAGAAAAATGGAAAGTATACTTTTTTAAAAAAAAAATTATGTTCCTTAAACTCTGATTAATATTTCTTTACTTGCAATAAAATGAAATCGGGATTGAGTTTTGCAGAAAATTGGGTGTGTGTGTATGGAGTATTATTTTTAAAAGGAAGGAAAAACTGATGGGGTAAAAAAAAGTACTATGATATTTGAAACATCAATCAATCTCCATCAAAATCCCAAGGCCATGATGAATCAGAGCTTGAAAACACAAGGGAGGGAAATATGTAAAATGTGGCATTTAAACACACTGAAAATGAAAAAGGTAACACAATCACTGACTAATTGCAATAACTTCCATTTGATCTTGATATTCTCCAAATTAACAACTTCAGTGTGTCAATCAAACTACCCCAACATTATTCTCATGATTAGATGATCATGCAAAAGAAATTTATTGCTTCATATAGCCTGACACTACTAGAAATAAAAACACCCAA